ATACATGAAACCTTTATTTAAAATACGTTAAAAAATGTGCCATTCGAATATATATCTAATAGGGGAAATGGCTCTAATGTTGACCTATGGATCTAAGATTGGGCCTATCGCTAAAAATCTGCTATTTATCAATTTTATCTAGATGAACGCGTCATTGGGACGGTACTAATGGATATTTTTAATCGCTATTGAAAATTTAGTCGATTGCTGAATTAATGTATGGGTCCAAATTAGGGACATGTAGGCCGACATTACATCCATTTCCTTCAATAATATATCTATTAGTTTTGAATCTTGAAAGCTTCTCATGGTCCAGAATCTTCGAAATCTTTCCAAGTCCGGAATATTGGTCTGAGGACTCACATTTTATGAGCCTTGAGTGTCAAAAACCAACTTCCCTAATCTCGAAGAGTTCATTCTTCAAAATCCAGAATCCAGAGAAATTTCGAAGAACGAGATTCGAAGCATCAGAATTTAGATTTTTTCTTCTGATATCTGGGAAAAAATCCACGTTTGAATCATCTTGATACTCTTGGAGTTCTTCACAGGATTTTCTCAAGAATATCCTTAGAATCATCTAAAAAATTATTACCTAGGAATTCCCAAAGAATTCTCCTGAAATAAACTCTCCTCAGTATTCACTAAATATCTCCTGAAATTCCCTCTAAATTACACTCAGAATTCTCTGTACAGTTCTGTACAATTCATGAAATGCTCCTCCGAATTTCCTAAGAAATGTTTATGGATTTATCTTAAAATGATTAGCAATAGCCTTGAAACTCTCCTAAATATTCCTATGAAGTTCGATATGATGATGATGACCATTCCTTGTAGCACGGAAACTAGTCCGATAGCTGTGGGCTCTCCTCACTGTTAAACTTGATTAAGCATAATAGCCTCTGATTGTCATCAGTAAATCGCTGTATGAAAGGCCAACAACGAATGGATGGATTGATATATATTGATAAATCGCCTATTAATTTCCTTGGGACAGTTAAGAATCTCCTTTAATTCTCCTTGATCAGCCAATTGGTCAGAAAACGAGCAATCCAACAAGAAGATATTCCAATAAATGGGGAGAAGAACCCACCCTTTATCCACGAAATGTTAGCAACAGGGAGTTGGCATATTCACTCTCCCCATCCAAATCGCTTCCTAACACATTCCTTTGAAATTTACCTCAAAACTTTGTTGGAAGTTTCGTTGAAACGTGCCATAGAATTTCTTTTGGAATACTTCTTAGAATTTCTTTGGAATCATCCTCAACACTTTGATTGAATTTCATTCAGAATTCCAATTGAATTATCCTTCTTCTTTTGAAATTCTACTCACAAGTACCTTGGAGCTCTCCTTACAAATCCCTTACTCAGAACTATATTTAAATTATCTTTTTAATCACCTTGGAATCCTCAGATTTCACTTCAACTTTTCCTAACAATTCTAGATAGAGCTGGAATTAGGGCCTAACAGCTTTTGTAAACAATGACTTCAATCGATGATTTCTAGAAACTCAAGGCTCGCCCACGCAAACCAACCTCCTCATCGGGTAGGGAAAGACTTTCCCTATCCGATGGTTATGTTGGTCTGTGTGGGCGTGCCTTTAGTTCCTAGAAATCACCGATAGAAGTCATTGTTTACAAAAGCTGTTACGCCTTAATTCCAGCTCTATCTAGAATTCTTCCCTAGAGTTCATTTGAAATTGCCATCAAAATCATTCATTAAAGTTCGTAAGCTGCGAAACTTTTACAATGCCCTTATTTCTCATCTGGGTTCTTGAGAAACATTTAATGTTCGACGTCTTTAATATTTACACGGAAACTAATCCGATATCTGTGGCCTCTTTTCACTGTTGAACTTGATTAAGCTTAATAACCTCTGATTGTCATCAGCAAAGCGCTGTATGAAGGGCCAAAAACGAATGAATAGATTGATATGAAAATCGTCTATTAATTTCCTTGGGACAGTTAAGAATCTCCTTTCAACAACATGATCAGCCAATTGGTCGGAAAACGAGCCATCCAACAAGAAGATATCCTAATTAATGAGGAGAAGAGCCGACCCTCCATCCACGAAATGTTAGCAACCGGGAGTTGACATATTCACTCTCCCCATCCAAATCGCTTTCTAACACTTTCCTTTGAAATTTACATAAAACTTTATTGGAAGTTTCGTTGAAATGTGCCTTAGAATTTCTTTGGAATACATCTTAGAATTTCTTTGGAATCATCCTCAACACTTTGATTGAATTTCATTCAGAATTCCAATTGGATTCTCCTTCTTCTTTTGAAATTCTACTCACAAGTACCTTGGGGCTCTCCTTACAAATCCCTTACTCAGAACTATATTTAAATTATCTTTTTAATCACCTTGGAATCCTCAGATTTCACTTCAACTTTTCTTAACAATTCTTCCCTTGAAATTATCTCTAGAGTTCCTTTGAAATTGCCATCAAAATCTTTCATTAAAGTTCGTAAGCTGCGAAACTTTTACAAGGCTCTCATTTCTTATCTGGGTTCTTGGAAAACATTCAATGTCCGACGTCTTTAATATTTATTTTTGTTCCAGATTCTCGTTCCAGAAAATTTCTCAAATCTGATTTTATTAGGGCCAGGGTTTCAAAAATGAGTTTAAGTTTAAAATATGTAGAAATTATTTATGATTGTATGGTGTCACTGATAAATCCACTCCAGAATTATTATGTAGATAAAGTTGGTTGTATTATAAAATCTTTTGAAATTCTTGAGATGGTTCTTCCTGGGCGTACTTTAATATCTAGCGTTCAGAATCATAAGGGCCCAACTGCGATGATCGATTATCTTAATCAATTTTTTTTCTTTGCATTACTATAGTTAAGTGAACCATTTTTCCGAATTGTTTACAGTGTACTAAAATGATGTATTATCTTATCTAGCAAAAGCAACATAAAAAGCACCGAAAATTTTCAAACTTGCCCACCTATTAACAAAAGAGAAAATCGAGGAAGATAATCGACCATCGCAGTTAAGCCCTTATGATTCTGGACGCCAGATATATTCTATTCTAATTTTTAAGAATTTATTTATGCTTGATACAAGGATTTTAAAATTCCCTAAAAATTCCAGGGTTTTCCAGAGAAAATAAAATTTCCCGAGGATTCTCAGTTTTCTATGTATTTCCAGATTTTTAAGGTAGTAGACACCCTGTAAGACATGATAATCAATAGTAAAACATTAAAAATATTGAAGTTGAAGTTAAACATTTACTTAATTTTACCAAGTCTACAATTCCAATTCCAAGTTCAAGATCTTGAAAATTTACATCAGAGCCAGGATAAAAAAAAGTCTCAGACATTTTTTATTTCAATTTTACAAGCGTTCTGAAATTCGATTTTTCGAAGGTTTCTATTAGAATATTTTTTTTTTCTTTCTTTATTTAGGAGATTTTCAGCCGTAGGCTGGTTCATCTCCGAAATATTAAACTCCCCAAATTTTATATGAAATTAAAAAAAACATCGGATCTTGATTTATTTTGCGTGTCCAAGATTTCGAAAATGTTTATATATTTGAATTATCTTCATACCCTTGGAAATCTTTTAAGAATTCCTTCTGTATTTTCTGAAGATTTATTTGAAAATCATCTCAGGATACCCTCAGAGTACATCTTAGACCTCTTCCTTCTTCTTCGCATTCGGAAGTCGAGAAATTTTCCAACCCGAAAAATTCCTAGACCGGACCGGGAATCGAACCCAGCCACCTCCAGCATGGCCTTGCTTTGTAGCTGCGCCTTTACTGACTGAGCTAAGGGAGGCCCAGACCTCTTACTGGTACTCCCTTATAAATTTGCTCCATAATACCAGATTTTAATTCAGCACTAAACACAAATTGAATTCACTCTGCGATGCTCTTCAAATTTTTAAGAATTCTTGCAGTTATACCTAGGAATTTCCCAAAGAATTCTTCTGAAATGAAACTCACACGGAGTTCACCTCAGCATTCACCTAGTAATCTCCTAAAATTCCCATGGAATTATTCTACAAATTCCTTTTTAATTCTGCTCAGAATTTCCATAACTTCATTAAAATACTCGTCATAATTTCTTTGGACCTCTCCTTGTAATTCTCTAAAATTTATCACAGGAATATCTTTGGAATACTCCTCGAAATCCTCTTTAAATTTTCCTCAGAATTCTATTCGAATACTTCTGTCATGCAATTTTCATTCAAATCATTTCAGAAATGCCTCTGCAATTTTCCTCACAACTTTTAAATTCTCCTAAGAATTCACTTGCAATTTTTCTCACAAATTCCCTAGATTTCTCCTCGAAATGTGTTTAACATTCAAGTCAGAAGTCTCTGGAAATTTTCCTTTGAATTACCTTGGAGTTCTCCTCAGAATTATCATGAAATGATCCTCAGAATTCTCTTGCATTTTTTGTCATTATTATTATTATAGTTACTTTAACAAGCTTGGGTCATTTGTGAGACGTATGATGGGTGTTAACCAATACGTCGGGGCCGAATGAATTAAGAATTCACTACTTAGAACTTCCCTAAATGCGTTGGATCCATGGATTCTTGAACCAATTTTCTAATTCATATGGGTAAATAAGGTCAGTTATTTTTACATTTACATTTTTTTTTAATTCTATTACTCGATAATTCTATAACTCGATGGTCCCTTTAGTATCGAATTTACTGTATTTCCTAAAAATAAGATATTATATTGCATATACCCAGACAAAAAGGAACACAATTCGAAATTTTGACCAATGAAATTACTGCAGATAAAACTCCTTCTACACATGCTTCAACAGTTATGTTGTCTAATCAACGCCGTAAACAAAAACAACAAAAGCGTCCCAACTCCATGGATCGATATTAAGCGTGAAAGTATCTGAAACTCTCGACAATGTAATCCGCCCTCACACGGGCACCTTACACCCCCCCCCCCCCCCCTTACCGTAGGAATTCATCAAACTTTAAACAGTTAGAGCAACAACAAAAAAGTTGGAAGATTTATTACCTACGGAACTTGCAGAAACTCAAACGCAGCGTACGTCATCAGCGCCGGAACGGAAAAAAACAAAAAGAAAATTAAATCCTTCCTCTCGTTGTCGCGGTCCTTTGTCACTTCCGCTCGCACAGGTCGATGGAAAATTGGAACCCTTTTCTTCTCTTTCTTCTTCGGTTGGCAGCCTGCAGTCGTTGCTCTGCTCTGCGATTTCAAGAGTCAAATTTTATTAGCTGTTGTGCTCGGCTCGGGCAATCCTACTCCGGAAGATGGATGGCTGGATCGGTGGCAGTTTCGCCAGAACAAAAAAGAGCACCACTCACACTCGCGCCCGCGACACTACACACCAAGGACGAAGGGAAAACGGGACCACTTTTTCGATTGATGAACGATGGATAGCTGCGGGCTGTGCTCTTCTTCCTCCCTATCTCTCTCTCTATCTCTTTCTCTCTGGATCCAGGGGAGTCCGCGTCGTGTGAAAATTCGGGGAAAAAGACGACGACTACGAACAACAATACACACTATCTTCCCCCACAATCCCTCGAACGGTGACACTTTGGACTTGAGCTCGCTTGAGGAAAAACACCAACACACTACAGCGCAATTATTGACTGTATGCAGTTTTTTTTAATGAATCGCGACACGCAACACTCGTCTAACTTCTTCTCACCGGGACCGATAATTGCACACGCACACTAGTAATCCGCGACGCAGAACAACGCGACCCGAGACGAGGTGCGACTGCCGCCGACGTCGTGCTGGATGCCACCGTTGTTGTTGTTGTTGCCGCTGATGCGATGCAAACTACTGCCAACGCACACAATCACACACCTCTATCTTTTCTTGGTGATGAATCGCATCCAGGCAGGGAGAGCGAATAAAAAATCGAATCCACCAAACTCACACCAACACCACTGCGCTTCTCCCAAAAAGTGCAAACGCAAGCGGGAGACAGAGAGCTATCACTTCAGCGCGAGAGGGAGAGGTTGAGCGAAAAAAAATGTCAGCAAGAAAACTCCTTCGCTGCTAATGGAGGCTGAGAACCCAGTTAAAATTCAACTTTTCACCACTTTACCCAACTTGTCAGCGATGGAAAATATCACTTCCGCAACGTACGCGATTCCGGCTAGCCCGGGGAACACTTTTCAGACGATTTCGAGTGCGTTTTCACCCGCACAGTACGGACTTTTCCGCGAGCACAGAGTCGATGTGTGTTTCCTTCCTCGAGACGATATCGCAACATACAGAAGTTGAAGAAGACGACGACGAACGAAACGCGCACCACCGCGACGACGACGACGGCGAATAAGATTTTTTCGTGCTTTTTCGCCCACCCGACGGACGACCGCGGCGAAAAGGGAATCGTGCTCGCACACACACACTTGTGCGAAGTAACTGACGGCTCGTCACGCACAGAGTGACAGTTCCTTGTGGGATTTTTCAGTGGAGCGAAAGGGCAAGGAACAGCTGGCCATGTTTCACGCACAGAATGACAGTTGCTTATGGGATTTTCCCGTAGGAGTAAAAGAGTCATAATAACGCTGTCATTGCCAATGATGAGTAAGAGAAACGTCAAAAATGTACAGTCGAGGCTATTAAATGCGAGCATACATCGGGTAATACTTAGAGCAACCGTACCGGTGTGCTGTTAAAACTACACAGCAAAAAAAAATGTAATATCGATCAACGTAATTCAAGCTGATGTATGAAATAATGATGTAATAGCAAAAAGCAGATACAATATTACATCATAGGATGTAATTTTGTTCGCAAAATCGATGTACATCGTACAATGTGATATTACACAACCGATGGATTGACCTGGTTGCAGCAGTTTCGATATAATATTCAACAACTTTTTTTGCTGTGTATTTGAATAAGCTCCGTATATTGCGTGCCTTTTATTAATAGGGCCTAGGTTCAATGCCAGTCGGGGCCGTCGGGATTTTCTTAGGCATAAAATCTCTGATCACGCCTTCCCTCAGAAAGGAACTAAAGCCGTTGGTTCCCGGCTCATGAGTTGATGGGTCGATAGGTAGGGTCCAGGTGTGGGAGTTACCTCGCTGACGCCGGTAGCATTCCGGTAGTTTCAGTTCAGTAGAACCAAAGAAAAAGAAAGATTATTAAACTGATTAAAGAAGATTAAACTGTCGGAAGAAAAACTTTCTATTTTAGTGTCCTTTTTCACGGTCCCTTTCATCCAATGAATACCCCCAGTATGCAAGGTAATTTGGAGGTTTTGCTGCCCCCTCGGTAGAGATAAAATTTTGCGCACTTTTTTTATCAACACAAACACATCAAAATCAGAGATGTCCCATTTTTTAATTACTCGATTAACAACTAATCGATTATTTTTTGTTCACTGTCCTGTCATTTTTCCACGAATGAGAGTGCAGCACATGTTTGAAATGATGGGTGATTATCCTCTGGAGATGTTAATCACGCTAACTTGAATGTACCCATTAAATGCGTAAATTTGACTCATTTTATGCTATTATTCCAAACTGTCAAAAAATGGGTATTTTCAAAAAATTAAAAGCGGGTAATTTTTAATCATTTTAAAATTATCTTCTTGCAATAAAAATGGGTAAAAAAGAGTTTGGTGAAATGGAAGAGCAAAGTGTTTTGAAAGTTAACGGATTTCGCGTGTGCTATGTCCTGCAAATTGATCGGAATTCGGGCGATAAATACCGCGTTTCATAAAAATATGCGGCGGAGGCAGCAGATTCTTTCCGGCCGGTGTTGATTCTGGTGAAAAGGGTGATCGGGTAGTTCCATTATTTCCATAAGAGTCAAACCGCAAACCTAAGTGTTGGGGAAGATCCGAGAGAAGATCAGCACGGCATTTCTGTGTGCTTTCAAGACCCGATTGCTACGAAGAATGTAATTATGATTAAATTTAGGAATGTATTCTAAAAACCGACGGTCCCGTTTCAGGTTAGCAGATTAATAGCGGGTTCGGAGAATAAAACGATGGTTATATGCCCAGGAATCCAAATCCGATTGTACATTTGGAACGAATAGAGGCAACTTCTTTACCCAACAAAAATTACAATAATGTCTACAACTTACTGCAACACTCGCATATTCCAGTACATCGGTTAATTCTAGTGTTTATGATTACCTATGTGATTATGTTTAATAAAGACTATGAAGTGTTTTAATGATTTTAGCTTTTACAAATGTTCAAATCCCTTATATTTCTCAGTGCTTATATTTGATGGCAGCCAGCCCAATGAAGCAAATAAAAAAACAATCAATAAAACGGTTACTTTTTACTCATTTACAGAAAAAACAAGATGATTAAAAACTACCCATTTTATGAAGTATTATTCGAATACTCATTAATGAGTAAAGTCGCTTTTACTCATTTCATGAGTTAAGCCACTTTTCTTCAAAATGAGTCAAATTTTACTCGTTAATGGGTACTTTAGAGTTAGCGTGATGCTTATATCGGCATGATATAACCGATTACAAATATTTTACTTTTCGGTTCGTTAATCGATTAATCGATTATTCGAATGAAAATCGGCCATCACTAGATGAATGTGAAACGTCATTCCAAATATAAGGACCGTACATAAATAATGATACAATTTGAAAGGGATCGGGCTAATCACAAATTACGTCCCCACGGTAACTGAAATACACACGAGTGTTCACCGGTTGGTAGAACCAACCAATTGAGATGTCAAATAGCGGAACCAATCGAGCAAATCATGACCAACAACAGAAAAGAGCACATCAGCTATTGCGAACAAAACTTCGGAAACCCTTTTCTCGTGACTCAAGGCTCGCCTACGCAAACTGACACCATCTTTGGGTTGGGGAAAGCTTCCCCTATCCGATGATGCTGGTAATTTGCGTTCGATTGGCGAGGAAAGAACCATAAAGCCCCGTATCGTGGGTAGATCACCTTTTCGTGGTACGTTACGGGATGTAAGATCTACCACCGATTCCTAGTCCTGACTACTTCAAACTAGGGGAACAGAACTTTTCAGTAATCCAAGGAACACATCTTAGTCCTTGTTACTTTTTATGCCTTGTTGATAGTGACAAGACTCGGCTTTGTCTACCGAGGATGACCTTGAAACAAGGAACAAAATGAGTTAGTTGTCTTCATCTATGTGATTCCTAAACTTCTATTCGTTGTTCCCTAGTTTGAAGTGGTTAAGACTAGGATTCTGATGCATGGTCATTATCGGTGTCATACCTTAATTTTGTTGCTTGTCAGAACAGCTCACTGACAGCTGTTGACAATTTCAAATACTCAATGTCATGGGGAACAGTCCAACAAACAATCGTCTATTGAAGAAACGGCTTCTTGACGATTTAATTCAACTGCGTGCTTAATAATACTTGTATTATTTTTAATAATAACTTCTGTTCAGGCTTTGTTCACACAAATCTGGAAAATTTATTTAACCACAACATTGATCTTCTTGGTGTTGTTTAAGGTATGTTGAGAAGCTTTTATTCGACTTATATGAGTGTAACAGAGCTTTTATTCGATAACATTTTTGATTATTCAGCGTTTCTTAAACATCACTGCTTCCTTAAAACAGTGATGCTCTGTATACGCGTGATTCTCATGTGAATTAACGTTTAATTAGACATTTTTATATTGCGCGTTTCACACCAAATTGGACTAATAAGCGCGTTTTCACTTATTAAAAAGTGTGATAAAACTGCACGTTTACGCGAGGGGGGAGACACATCTAAATCTCAAGTTTAGATGCTCAAAAAATCTTACACTAGCGAATCAATCTTCGAAAAATCTTTTTTCATTTGTCGCATCTACTTGCATCGCTCATCATCTTTTTGCAGGAAATCTTCAGAATCGTCATCAATCTTCTTTCTATCTACTCAGCGTGCGCGCAGCTAGCCACAGCATAACACATTTTTTTCTGCATCGTAGATAGAGTCGTCCCCCTCGCGTTTACGTCTAATCGTCTTGGTGCACTTATTCCTTATGATGCAAGCAATAAGTGCTCCGAAGACGTGCACTTTTATCACACTTTTTGCATTTTTGGGACAGTCCAGTTTCAGATGCAATCAGCAATACATTTAATTTAATAAACGATTATTCAACAGTGGGGAAATTGACCCGAAAATAACAGACCAGAACATAGTGGAAGGAACGGTGATTGATTTCATTATTTCTGACGTAGCACGGCACCACACCACACACAGAGATATTATATAATTTTTTACATACATGTACATTTCGTTGCATGGGATTCGAACCATGTATCTTCCGGTAACCAGCCGCTTGCCTTGCCATCTGAGCTATCCTAGAATTCATCATATGAGCAGCTCAATAATCAATAAAAGCTTGCTTGAAAGTGAATACCTATCAGCACTCCCGATCGCAACTCCAGCTCCTTCGAGGCCCTGTGGGAATAATTAGTTCATTCATCGTTGTTTTACAAGAGACCGATGTTACCTCTTCACCACTCCAATATCAAGGAAAGGATGCTATTTTTCAAAATAGATTCTTTGTCATGAGTCATGTGATCAATGATTACTATTTAAATGAATTAAACGTAGAACACAAATAAAAAAAGGTTGAGCTTGGGATTGAACTCACGATCTTCTACTTGGAAAGCGGAAACGGTAACCACTACTCTACTGATTTCGTCTTGTTGTTAGGCTGAACCAGTGTTGTGGAATAATTAATCTAATACGTCGTTTATAAAGCATTTACAAAGCATGCGATTAAAACATGGACACATAGTGGTGTAAGAGTTATTATCACAAACGAAGTGACAGACGACTAACTGGCGAAGAAATACATTTAAATAATGTGGTTCACTGTAATAGAATTTTCTTGGAAGCTTGTGCCATCATCCACCAGATGGGTTAGTTTTTTTGTTGTGATTTGAACAAAGTTGATTTTGTGTACAATGATTCTTTGACAGTGTGCAAAGAGTGCGTATCATTTTATCATTTTTTTATGCATTTCAGTTTTGAGTAGAGTGAAAGAGATAGAACCAAAACATTCTAGTACATTTGGTGAAAATGCTAGTTCAATCTAGTAGTAGTGTTGCCATGTGGTACAATCCAGTAGTAGTGGTGTTGCCATGTGGTACACTGAAAAATTGCAATAGCAGGTTAGTCACCAAAGTTTTCGAGCCGCTCCGTCTGTCACTTCGTTTGTGCTATTATGCTGACTGTATTCACCTTTATTCAGCAATATTGTAAAGCAATGCAATGAAATCTAACAATGGAGCTAGAAAACATTTATTAGCCGTCTAATAAAGCATGTTATTAAATCAATCGAAAACAGTCGAATTGAAGTATCAATGTATGTGCAAATTACACTTATTCAGTTTGTTATTAGATCAAACTTCTGGCGTTGAATTAGCCAACGTTTATAAAGCTTTTAATAATAAAATTAATCAGATCAGAGAAAACAGCTGAATAATGGTGCATCTATCAATATCAATGCGCTTTTTGCAGCACATAAATCGACAACTCGTTTTATTCAGCACTGTTTACTGTAATACAGCATTTATTCAATAAATATGCTTATTTGTTACTATGAATTGTTTGTTGGAAGGTCCGGGAAAGTGAATTAGTCGTATTTTTCACTACCCCGTAGTTCTTAAGTAAGAACGAGTTTGACGTCACATTCATTGTTACACAAGAACAGCGGGAGAATGAAAGAGACGATAAATTCTCATTGCTGGACATGTTAAACCATAGAGGTAACTCTAATACCCTGGACAGACTATAGCTTATATCATGTAATATAGGCTGTCTTGCAATGAGCACTCATATATAGGATTTCCAGTGAAAACTAGATGTATGAGTGCTCATTGCAAGCCAGCCTATATTACATGATATAAGCCATAGTCTGTCCGGGGTATAAGACTAGTAGGTTCCGAAGAAACGTGCTCACTTTTTGGCTGAGCTCTGGTACGGTCCCAAGCTAATGGATGCACCCCTCGAAACATAGGAAAATCCACGAACCCCTGATTTTATCTGTCAATCTTTTATAGCGAATCAAAACAAACATTGTGTAGTACTAGAATTTTGACTAGAATGGGGTACGTTAATCGATTTGCTTGGGACCCATAGGCTAGTCAAGTAGTGAGCCAATTTAAAATCGTTAGTTTCGTATTGATTTTTGGTTAAACTCTGCCGCACGTAAACAAGAAGGGAAGAAGAAGGCACACGCTAAAAATGGTCGATCCGATTTCTATATTGTTGAAATAAACATGCTTTTGAATTTGATACAAACATAAATATTTTTAAACATGTTTTTAATTAACTTTTTCATATGCTTATAGAATGAACATTCGTATTTTTAATTAAAATGGATAAAATTCGTTACCGTGTCAATTAATGAAACTGATTCTAGAGCCCCGTGATTTCTTGTGGACCACTTGTACTGACGCAACATGAATAAGTTTGAATCTGGGAACGGAATGTGGGCTAGAATGTGGGCTTAAGGGACCATGGATGGATGGTCCCCCGGATGATCCGGAACATCCGTAAAAATTATCAATTGGGTTGTTTAACTTCGAAAAATAGACCGATTTTTGTACACGGTTAGAAAAAAGTACCCAAAATTAAGTTCTTTTCACTCATCTCGGCACTATAGTGCAGGAACCCAAAAGTAGGTAAAGCGGGTCAAAGTAATTTTCATTTACTTGTGTGCAGTTCGTATGGAATTTTCCACTGGCTTTTTAACCAAAAGTAAGTTAGTTGTACCCAACAGTAGGTAAATATGATTATACTCAACGTTGGGTTCCCACACTTTACTACCCCTGTTGGGTGGTTTTGCTCCTCCGTTTTTGACAACATAAGAAGGAGAAAAGGAGACAAACTAGTCAAAAGTAGGTAACAGTGAACTGGCTGTTGGATACTTTTTTCTTACCGTGTACATCATCTGAAAGAGCTTCGTTTTCTGATCACAACGATATTTTTATCGATCCCGTAGACATTCATCTCGATTTTTAAATCAAGATTTAATTTTTTGATCGTTGACACTAAATCTATTTATTGACAGCTCGCTCCCATACAAAGTCCCACCAAGGGGCGCTAAGATGGTGATTTTTCCTAATGTAATTGTTCTTATTTAAAATAGTTTCAGTGTACCAAAATTGATGAAATTTTGGATTTCGGTTCCATTCTTAATGCAGATAACGAATATGTATTTACCTCAATACCCCTAAGCAACCCAATTCTAGAAACTGTTCCAAGAACCTCACAATTTCTTTTTAAATTACTTGGGAAAGAATTTGAAGCTGAGCCCGAAATGTGAATTCTGTGGTCACATGACGACCCTCCGGAAGATCCGGGACATCCGTATAAGTAGAAATTTCAAATGACGTCTAAAAACTTGATTCAATTCAATTTTGCAATCATTTAGAAGTTTAGCATTTTGAATATTTGTGAAAGTTTTAAATCTTGCCAACCTTTCATATTCCAGAATCTTAAAAATTTCTCCATGTCCAGATCATTTATCTGAGTCCACCTTTTTTTAGGTCCCGAATGTCAAAAAAAAAAAACTCATGGCATTTTTTTTAGTTCTGGATCAGAGGAGAACTTTACCAAAGAAGAATACTAAAATGAAACAGTCAGAAGAAAAACTTTCTATTTTAGTGTCCTTTTTCACGGGTTCATTTCATCCAATGAATACCCCCCGTATGCAAGGTAATTTTGTGGTTTTGCTGCCCCCTCGGTAGAGATGAAATTTTGCGCACTTTTTTATCAAAACAATCACACCAAAATCAGAGATGTCACATTTTTTTTAAATTATTCGATTAACATCTAATCGATTATGTTTTGTTCGCTGTGCTGTAATTTTTCCACCAATGAGAGTGCAGCATATGTTTGAAACGATGGGTGATGATCCTCTGGAGAAGTTAATGCTTATATCAACATGATATAACCGATTACAAATATTTTACTTTTCGGTTCATTAATCGATTATTCGAATGAAAATCGGCCATCCCTAGATGAATGTGAAACGTCATTTCAAATTTAAGGCCGTAATAAATAATGATACAATTTGAAAGGGACCGGGGCTAATCACAAATTACGTCCCCACGGTAACTGAAATAAACACGAGAGTTTGACTTTACTAAGCCATAAAAAATATCAAAGCCCCAGAATTTCAAAATCCCTATCCTAGATAACTTGTGTGATTCCCAGGATTTCTTTAAAATGTTCTCAAGAATTTCCGTAAACGCTGTGCAGACTGGAGAGTTATAACATGTTATAACGGTTGTCAAATAATTGCAACACAGAAACCACCATCAAGATAGCGCTATAACTCTAGTCTGAACGTACTATTATGCCTTGTTCAGACTACAGAGTTATAACATGACATTATAATAATTATTAACAAGAAAAATGTCATCAAGATAGGCTATCTATAACATGTAATAACTGCTAAGTCTGAAAATAGCATCCCTAATAAACGGGTACCATACTCTAACCATATCATAGATGGTACGACCATCCCACATAAAGTTGGGATGATATCCCGAATTGGTGGTTAGGCGCTTCTTATGGTTATTGTTTATGCGGGATTAGAATAAGAATTTACTAATAGTTTATCTAGGAACTCTCTCCCTCTCTGGTTTTCCCATATTATTTGCTCCTAAATTGCCTAGAAATTCTCTGTAGAACAATATGAATTCGCTCTGAAATTCTCTGCAAACTTTACATAATTCAATCAGTATTGTCTATTGGAACTCTTCTCAGCATTCGCTAAGTATACTCGCGAAATTCCCATCCAATTATCCTCGGAAATTCTTCTGAATTATGCTCACAATTCTCTTGTAGTGTTCCATGAGTTCCGTTAAATGCTCCTCAGAGTTCCTTGGAAACACTCCTAAGAATTGTTTGGGAAGAATCCTCAGAATTTGAATTTTAATTCTTTTCATAATTTCCTTAGAATTCTCATAGTTTTGCCTGAATTTCTTCAATGCATATTATTTTAATTTGCTTGCTCATAGAATTTTAAAATTCCTGTCAAAATAAAATTCTCTGAGGATTCCCAGTTTTCCAGGTACGACACCCTGTCATAATTCGAGATCCGGAGGCACGAATTATATACCGCAGACATCATGTTCGTGATATTAGAAGATCCAGTAGGCATTCCTGAAATATTCTACATTTCCTGAAGCAAATTTGAAGTATTGTGCTGAAGTTGATACGACTATGAATGAAATGAAGTTCAGAGACTTTTTTGCTTCCTGTGATGGTCCTACGGAATTCTCTTCATGGCCTTTTTCGTTGAAACTTACGAGCATGGCAGTGAGATATCAAATAGACATGTTCCCTCAAAGCACCTACTACTATTGCCACAATGCACATTTTCCTGCAAAATAACGGACATTTCGGAATCTGGCAGATGACCTCGAATACCTACCCTACATTCGTTCAATCAACGTCTACATTTATCATATCATCGAAAATTGCATATACATACAAAGACCCCCTAGATCGCTTACTTCGTCTCCTCCGGCTTGGTTGGCACCTCTTCGGTGGCCGGATTAGCATCGCGGAAGTTCGGGAACTGCTCCCACGGTGCCGAGAGGTCAAACTTGCGGAACTCCTGCGCCAACTCGAGCGGTTCGCAAACGACACGTTTCTTCTCGTCGTCGTACCGCAGCTCGACGTAACCGCTCAGTGGGAAGTCACGACGCTGCGGGTGTCCCTCGAAACCATAATCGGTCAGAATCCGGCGCAAATCGGGATGGTTAGCAAAGAACACACCGTACATGTCCCAGATTTCGCGTTCGTACCAATTGGCAGCTTTGAACACCTCATTGCACGAGTCAATCGGCGTCAACTCGTCCGTGTAGGTTTTGACGCGGATGCGGGAGTTGAAGCGAAGCGAAAGAATGTTGTAAATCACCTCGAAGCGATACTGACGGCTGGGGACGTCCATGCCACCAATGTCGACGAGGTTTGCGAACTGTGCCTGGTGGTGATCCTTCAGGAATTGAAGCACCGGTACAACACCCTCCGGAGCGATCAGCACTTCCAGCTCGTCACCGGCAGTCAACTGCACCTTCTGCACGTATTTGGGCAGACATTCGGCAACATACTTGCCGAAGTCGGCCAGATCGGCACGGGCTACCGTATCCGGTTTGCGGACGGTTGCTGAAACGGTTCTGTAGGTTAGTTTTGTTTTGGATTGCTAACGAGAGTTGTTGTCAGTTTACGTCGGGATTCGGCAGCAGCTTCCGACTTGAATCGCACGATAGATGATGGGACGACGGCGGCCGAGCGAGTCAGAACTAAAAACGGGAAAATAGGAGTAGGTAGTAATTCGATTAAGAAGCCTGAGTGGATAGATAGGAACTGTCGAGCTTACCATTTCCGCTCAGGACACCGCTACGGGCAACGGCGGAAATCGAACGGAGTAACGATGCCATCGTTCGGGCGGAGATAAATCCGGAAAATCGAGTATAATTTTCTCTGGATATGAAGTGTTTTTCAGCGCTGCCACTACACTTTTATGTAATTCGGTGCGAAAATGACGGATTGCGAGAGGAGATGATCGGTCGCAGAGCTGTCAGGACGGAGAATTTCTCATCAGGGGTGGGAAAATGATAACAAAACCTTGAGCGCTCTAGTACTTCATTTTGACTGTGAGTATTCATAAGGGCTAATGTAGCAAATGTAAACAAACTGAGTTATTGGACGATACAAACAACAATCAATACGCAACTAGTGATTTAAAATAGGCTCATAACTTGACTAGCCCATTGGTACCAAGTACCTCGATAAGCGTGTCCCTTTATCGTACTAGAATCTATTGGTCTGTATATATAATAACAAAATAGCTGTCGAACCTACCTCGACCAAACACGAGCTTGCAAGTTGCTCGACTTGCTTGTCGCAATGAACACCCATTTGATTTTATTTTAAATTTTATTTATATTTGTGGTGAAATGCTTGTTTAGGAGTATTGAGGTAAATACGAGGGGAAAGAAAGTAATAAATGGTAATAAGTAACCCTAATAAAAATGTTATGGATAATTTGCTTAACGACATGTTCGGGGTATCATCCAAACGATTTGTGGAATAGTTCAATCATTGGGGTTATCGTTCGTTTATGGTATTTTTTATTATGGAATCCATTCTCCATTTCATTGAACGGATTTCAATAAAATTTGCTCCATAAACTTGATTTTTTGAATAATTTTGATTTGTAAAGAATAATAACATTACCTCTATGATAATAACACGCACTTACCGATATCATCCGATTTCATCCACTTTTCATCGTCAACTTGTCACTCCCAACACAGTTTACCCATTTTTGGGTAGTTTCAGTTTTGACGGATCTGGGTGGATTCTACCCAAATTTGGGTAGTTTTTAAATAGCGTGTAAGCTTATAGATGTATTGACGAGTGCACGGATGGATTTGAGCTCACTTCACTCGACAAAAAGTGACACAACAGCGGGGCCCTGTTTACTAAAAATGAACACATATATGTTCATTTTTAGTAAACAGGGCCCCGCTGTTGTGTCACTTTTTGTCGAGTGAGTGAACTCAAATTCATCCGTGCACTCGTCAATAAGGCTACCCTAATAAAATCTCGGTGAACATTTAAAAAGGTCCTATCTGCTTTGATCGATTCTCTTCATCAACTTTCTCTTTTGATGACCATGCCTACGCAAACATATTTCGTGTTCTTTTTGCCACATAGTTTAATCAACAATCAATACGAAACTAACGATTTTAAATTGGCTCACTACTTGACTAGCCTATTGGTCCCAAGCAAATCGATTAACGTATCCCATTCTAGTATAAATTCCAGTACTACTACACTATGTTTGTTTTTATTCGCTTTGAAAGTTTGACAGATAAAATGAGGGGTTCGTGGATTTTCCTATGTTTCGAGGGGTGCATCGATTAACTTGGGACCGAAGATAGTACCAGAGCTGAGCCAAAAAGTTGAGCACGTTTCTTCGGGACCTGCTGGTCTTAGAGTTACCTCTATGGTTTAATCGCAGAAGTTATTGTCTTGCGCTTAGAACTTTGAACACAGCTAGGAATGTTTTGAAATTGAGTTATTAACGAAAGAGATAGTCGATGAAGAGAATCGATGAATGCAGATAGGACCTTTTGAAATGTTTATCTAGAAATGAGCATGGTTATTTTGCACAACGAAGTATTCGGGGATCATCCAAACCATTTTTGCAATAGTTCTATTACTTGGGTTATCGTTCGTTTATGGTATTTTTTCGTGAGGGTAGTCAAGTAGTGAGCCCATTTAAAATCGTTAGTTTCCATCGGTTGCTGGTACTCTCAGTATGATACTATCAACCCATGCAAGAAATCGTTGGTAAACTGAATTTATAATTAAAACCCAAGAATTATTTCCATCAACAATTTTTTCAACAAAAAAGAAGAAGAAGAAGCCAACCAAAACAAAGCATCTGTCATTTGAGCTGGCTCCTCTCTCTTGGATTAAAACGAAACAGCTTTTGACAGCCCTAATAAAAATGTTATGGTTAATTGGCATGACGAAATGTTCGGGGTATCATACAAACCATTTGTGGAATAGTTCAATCATTTGGGTTATCGTTCGACGGGCTCTAGTCATAGAAGTAATTTTCTTTAGATGTTCTCAATTTCAGCATGATGCGACATTGGCCCTTTTGAATGCTCACTGTCGATTTGGGTTTTTCTCGCCGCAACCGTCAAAGAATAGTAGAGGCCACCAAATGAGGGACACTGCTCTCCGCAACACCGCGAATGTTGTTTATATCGGAAGTTGGAAGCGCTCGCCAATCGAACCCCAAAAATATCCAATATATTCCACGGAACGTGACCAGCAATGACCTGCACCGTTCCCGGCTGCCATGCTGCCAATCAGGAATTCCTGGTTGAGTTTCCGCGGGATCCGAAGCTTGCGGATCGGTGGAGGCAAGCAATCGAATTCGGCACCGGTCAACCGATTCAATCGGACATCATCGGTGTCCAGCAGTTGCAGCTGTGTTTGTCGCACTTTCCTGGAGATGATCACCCGGGCATGATCAGCTATCGGGAACCGTCCACCTTTCGAGATGGGTAAGTTGTTGTTGTATGAGCGAAGCCCTGTCTCAGAATCGGATGATTTTTTTTAGGCAAGGCAACGCCGTGGACATATCCAGCTGCAGGTTGTGCCTCAAGTTTGCGCTCCGGTCTCGGATGTTTCCCAAATCCGGTAAGATGGAACACGTGTCACTGAGCAGTACGATTCGGGCGGTGATGAAGATTTCGCTGGCGACGGATGATTTTTTGACGGAAATTTGCGAGCGTTGCTTGGTCAAGGTTGATGTGCTGAAATGTTGGGCTCGGGAGACATTACGGCAGGAGATGGACTTCCGGGAGTTGATGACCCTGGCACGGCAGGAGTGTGAACCCTTAGATGGTGAGGTGAAGGTTGAAACGGTTCTGGTGGAGCCGAAGGAAGAGATTCCGGACGAAGTGCTGCAGGGAACGGTGAACAGGGAAGCCAACCCTCCTGTTGATCATAAAGTGGAGCTGAAAGAACAAAAGGCGGAAGCCGAAGTGATCGGAAACGATGCTAGGAACGAATCGATAATCGAGATTGGATCGTCTTCGGAAGAAGATGACGTACCTTTGGCGAAACTTCGAAAGAAGTGCAAGCGGAAAACAGTCGGTAAGGGTAAAGAATCTCACGTGAAGAAGCAGAAAGTCCGGTCCAGGAAGCAGACGTTCCCCAAAGAGATAACGAAGATGAAACGCGGTCGTAAGCCGGGTTCTCCGAAACCTGCCAGACAGGAATATCTGCGGGATATCCTGGCTAGAAAGTGCTACATTTGTGATATATTCTTGGATGATAATGACGAACAGGTGGCCCACTTGACGGAAGTACATGCCGGAAAGATTGACTACAAATGCGAAGACTGTAAGAAGACCTTCGGCAAAGTTACGATCTACAATCGCCATCTGAGCTGTCACGACATTACGGTTCGACCGCGAAAATGTAGCTTCTGCTCGCTCTGCTTCAGCGCCAAAGAAAGTCTTAAAATTCACGAGAACAAGGTCCACGGTACCAACCACACTCTACCGAAGCGTTACAAGCGAAGGACGAAAATCTATCAGTGCGAACTGTGCGGAAAGATCTTCCTCAACGACGCCCTACTCAAGCAGCACGATCAGTATCAACACAAGAAGCTCCCGGCAGCATCCTGCAAGCTTTGCGGGAAGACTTTTGCTACCAAATCCAACCTGGAAAAGCATTACATTGTCCATTCGCACGAGCGCCCTTACAAGTGTGACAAATGTGCCGTTTCCTACAAAACGTCTACCGCTCTTACCAAGCACGCGCTTCTTCACGAAAATCTTCTCCCGTACGAGTGTCGGTACTGCGATGAACGCTTCCTCACCCAGGGTCAATACGCCAAGCACCGTTTCGTGAATCACAAAAGTCAAATTTCCAAGCTCTCCCAGCAGCCCAATGCCATCACGCGATCGATGTCCTGTGCACTTTGCTCGGAAGCGTTCGCCCGTTCAGGCGATCTCCAGAAGCACATTAAAGAATCCCACTCGGATCAATCTTACCCCTACCTAACCTGCCCGGAATGTCCCCAGCAGTTCCTCCAAGAACAGCAGCTAACCAACCACCGGAACATTCACACCGACCGCTTTGTGTGCAACATTTGCCACAAGCACCATTCATCCGCGGCACAGCTGAATGACCACATGGAATCGCACAATCCATCGCAACCGTGGCAGTGCAACATCTGCTTGAGACGATTCAGTCTGCAGTCGAACTTTTCACGCCATAGGCTGATCCACCAGGACGAAAAACGATTCAAGTGTGACTTTTGCGAAAAGGGTTTCTCGCAGAAGGGTCAACTGCAGAACCATAGACGGACGCACACCGGAGAACGACCGTTTACGTGCCCAGTTTGTGGGAAGAGCTTCGGCGATCAGCCAACGTTCTACAAGCACCGGAAGCGGTGCATGGAGAAGGACGGCCCTACAGATGATCGTCAAACTGGCGGCGAAGATGATGAAGCATGTGAATTTTAGGGTAAGTCATTTTAAGTAATAAACATATTTCTTGACGATTAGAAAAACGGAAATGATGATCCGAACTTCCTTCGGGTTCGGGGCCTGTCATCGTAAATATCACAAGTATTCCCACTTTGTAAAAATCCTCCTTTCATTCGTCCTCATCAATCTCCTCACACCATCACCACATAGTCCGGCTCGAGCTGATCCTCCGGTTCCATCCCGTCATCATCTTGACTTTCCAACACTTCGATCAACTCTGGCTTGATGTCGACCGACATATCCGCTGCGACGGAAGTGCTGCTACTATCTATTTGACTACTACAACCTCCGTCCGCCGCACGCAATACTTTAATCTTCCTCCAAATGGTAGTCTTTGGCAACCGGTACAACTTGGATGCTTCCGATTGGGACATCAGTCCTGCCACACACTGCTGCGCCGCTTCCAGAACACGGTCCTTGAAATCGGTACCCTTGTCCCTTTGCTTCAGCATCACATTGTCCGGCAGTGCCCCTTCACTGAACAGCTTAATCTTATCCCGATGCAGCGTGGACAGTGGTATATCGAATCGTTTGCTTATGTTCAACAATTTCTCGCCCGCTTTCAACGCTTCGATGGCCTCCTTTCGTGGCGATGGCAATTCGAACCGATCCGCTTTGTAGTTCGGTGCTTTGACAGCTTTTCTCCACAGAACCGTTTTCGGAATACCATACTGAATGGAAGCTGTTCGGAAGCTCGCTCCTCCCTGAATAATCGTATTAATCGCCTCATCCAGCTTATCTCCATACTCGACGTTCTTCAGTCGCTTCTTACACAAGCCCGATGATTCGCCGCTCGTTTCAGCGTCGGAAGTGTTTGATTGATTTCCAGACACTAGTTCCTCTTTCGTTACCATCACCGTTTGATCGTTACTTTCTTGATTGCTCGTACCAGACTCAAGATCCACCATATTCATATCCATCTGAAAATAATCGTAACCCTTTAGATTCAACACTCCTTTCTACCTTGAACTACCAGACCCTCACCTCGTAATACTGATTCTCCGTTTCCGTCTCGGTGCCGCCATCCTTATGCACTTCCTCCACCTGAAACTCGCCCTCGCTCACCGCATCGGCACCAACCGTCGGTTCAACCATTGCTCCTTCCTCCGACTCCGTTGCGCCTCCAACATCTATCATCGATCCTTCCGCGTACGAATCCTGCAGTTCCTCATACTCGTACTGTTCCGGCGTAACAATATTCGAACCGGCAATTTTCACCCCGTTAATGTTCCCATTCTGATAGTCCAATCCCTTCAGTCCAAACAACTGGCATGCTTCGAAAAAGTCCGACATTTCCCGGGCATTCATGTGAACCTCTCCGGTGTAGATAAAGTGCAGGACGTGCTTCATGATGGTGAAGCTCACGTCGGGAATCATCACAGAGACATCTTTCGTTGCATCGTTTGGTCCTGCTCCTGCTCCGACACAACTCGCCGGCATTGTGGTCAAAGCTGTGCGGAAAATGTCCTCGAAGAACTTGGAAGCCATCGACAGAACCATCCGGCAAGCCGTAAGTTGACCCCCATCCGATGGGACCAGCGTCACGTCCGTGTAGAGCCCATTGGCGTACACGTCCAGGAATGTGCTGAACATGTGGTCACTAAAGTCGACCCACTTCACGCAGGATATCGTCGCTCGATTCATGTTGCGTGGAAAATCGAATGATTTCGCACTTTTAAACGTGAAATTACGGTTAAATTTGTTTGAAAATAGGAATATTATTTTATTTTCCAATCGCGTAAAAATGTAAACAATGCAAAAAACGAGCTGACATTATAAACAATGTACTAGAGCGGATGGGGGGGAAGAAGTACCAGAATACACTCGTATACGGGCTTGGCTCATTTCGTATACGACACATACGCACATACGGTCGCTTGGTATGAAATATTAGGGTAAATGCTCCTATACTGCCCATAACCGCATATCAGTCCCATATTGATAGGAAATCAAGCAAAGATGGGACTGATATACGATTATGGGTAGTATAGTTGCGGTACGTTCGAAGCGTTAGATTCCTACACGAAACGAAAATCAATTATTTTATTCATGTGTTTCACTTATAATACGTAAATGCGTACACGGATAGAAATCTCCTTATACCTTTTGGCAAATTTCTTTTGATGATTATTCATAAAAAGTAAAAGTCAACTAATAAGCAGACGCCTTGCAAAAAGTTAATGAAGATCATGTGTCAAATGAAACGTATAAGCGGTCACAGTTACCTTTTATGCATTCTTATAGGACCTATGTGGTTTGTCTTATGGAATGTATAAGGCTGATGTTTTGGCAAAACTGTATAAGTGAAACACATGAATAAAATAATTGATTTTCGTTTCGTGTACACACTGAAACTAAAATACCCTAATAAAAATACTCAAAAATACCTCGAAAATACTTTGTACACGAAAAATACATTTCATAATGAATTTAATACACAAAACTTAAAAATACATAAATACGAAAAAAAATACAAAATACAGCTTTTCAAATCGGGTAGATGAATCGAAAATACTCAAGTTGACAGCTCGTTTTAATCATTTGTTTTGGTAGAAGATTTAATATTTAAAAAAAAAGTCCGAACATTCTGAATTTGGGAGGCGATTGGTGAATGGTGAGTTGGATTTGCCAGCACCGGACAAGTTGCCAGGCTCAAATGAAGTGATGCCGTATTTCATTGTTGGGGATGCAGGATTTCCTCTTAAGAATAACTTGCTCCGGCCATATCCAGGTGTTGACCTACCTCCAATTCAAGACAACTTCAATCAACGACTGTGCAGAGCCAGGAGGACCATCGAAAATAGCTTTGGAATTGACCACTTTGTCAAGCAGTTTTGGCGTGACTTTCTACCAGCGATTTCACAAAACTGGACCAACAAATTTCTATTTTTTATAAAACGCACAAATGTTGGCTATTTTTCTCGAGGTTCTAGAAGAAAAAATCTAAAAAAAAAAGTTTTATTTCAAAGTTCGAGTGGTAGTAAACGTCATTTTAACTGCTCGAATGAAGTGGTTAATTCTAGTGGCGAGGTTGAGGATGAAGAACACGTTAGTTATGCTTTCAGGCTCGGTTGACAAAATTGTGAAAGCTTGTGTCATTTTGTACAACTTTGTAAAGAGGAATTCAGTGAATGATTACTGCCCGCCATGGTTCGTAGATCGTGTTGATGGTGAAGGGAACGTCAGTGATGGTGAATGGCGTACATTATAGTAGTTGATCCTCTGCGGCCCTTCAGAGAGGCAACAATGCGGCACGATCTGCATACGCTAACCGAAATGTGTATTGTGTATGTATTCACACAATATTTTTAAAGGATATAATAAAACATTGCAGTAGTTTAAATTGTCAACAAAGCTATTTCACTAGTTATATTGAAAAATTCCACTGAAATTTGTTTGGGAATTGGGGTTGGCCCTTCTTACACACTTCTATTATACACAAAATACACTTCTGATTACGCTGATGTGAAGAAAAAGCAACATGACGTTGCGTCAATTTTGAAAATTTTCAAAATTTAGCACAGCGTCAGCGTTTTAGTACTGGCGGGCAGTGAGCGCAACGCATCTTTGTGGGTTGCTAAACTGAATATCGTCAACAATCAATACGAAACTAACAATTTTAAATTGGCTCACCACTTTAGTAGCCTATTGGTCCGCAAACGATTAACGTACCCTATTCTAGTTGAAATTCTATTACTACACTATGTTTGTTTTGATTCGCTATGAAAGTTTGACAGATAACATCAGGGGTGTGTGGATTCATGCAGAACATGCAGGGGTGAGTGAAATAGCTTGGGACTACTTGGGACCGTTGTTCTGGTACTGAGTGAGCCAAAAATAATAATGATTTTCTTCGGGACCCAGTGGTCTTAGAGTTACCTCTATGGTTATACCCTTTCGTTATTGGCCCGTGAAACAAAAATTTCACAGGCCCTTTTGCTACGCTAAGGATAATGTCAGCTCTGATAGATTGTATCGCTACCGCTATTATGACTTTAGCATAGACCCTATAAACATAATCTCCCGGGACATACGAGGAAATCTACGTTGATGATTGGTGCCGATTCACAAGCAACGATCGGTTCATGATTGAAAATGTAGTCGGATTTCAATACTGCCGAGGTGTTGGCAGGGCAAAAACCTATACCCTGGATCACGCCCCTGTCAAAGCACCGGAGAATGCGACAGTAAAAGGTATGTTTGTTTGTGCTAACTGAGAACCTAAGAAATAACGAATTTAATTTGGTGGATTTGAACGAAAACAGAATTACAATAGAAAATTATGTTAAGCACGTTTTGCCTCTTTGTATTTAACCCCAAAATGTATGGTTAAGGGGAAGTTTACCACCCCGAATATATAGTTTTTTTGAAATGGTTTTCGTGGGAAAAATTATCAATAATTCGATTAGTTTTTTCTTAGATTGTTAACAAAATTTACTTGTAAAAATATTATTTATTTCTCCACGCATACGAATTTTGTTCATTCAAATTAAAAATAAACCTGTTTATACTCTAAACATATGAATGATTCAACGTAAATTGAAAACATGTTTATTACTAAAATATGTATTTTGAATTAAATTCAAAAGCATGTTTTTTCAGCAATATAGAAATCAATTGTATTTGAAAGCATCACTCACCGATGTGTCTGTATTTGACTGGCGATGATCGATTTCTGTACTTGGTACCTGATCAAGCGGGCACGGTGACAAAGGCGCAGAAGGCGGTAGTTCTTTCGCTGGTCATTTCGCTGGATCAGAAGTTTTTTTTGAGGCCGATAAGGGGCTGTTTATAAACTACGTAGACATTTTTTTTGATTATTGACCCCCCATCCCCTGCGCCCATTTTTAAAATTTGTATGGGCCGTGCATAATTGTCAACCCAACCCCCCCTCCTCCTAACATGTCTACGTAGTTTATGAACAGCCCCTAAGAGAAAGAGCTGAACGGACACTGGAGCTGGTGAATACTTTGGACATTCACACGCTGCGCTACTTCCGGGAAAAAAATCGCAGCTAGTATGCAATTGCCTTCCCAGCACTTGAGTGTGTCAAGTTGATCGGTAACGATCATTTCGTGTCCTGTGCACATGGGACTCATCGTTTCCTATCGTTTTGGAGTTCTGCCCATAGTATTGTTTAGTTGACCCATGGAAAGACGAATAATGGGGAGGCAAATTTCATAAGTGCTATCGCGTCAATTTTGAATACGGATGTGATCATATGATTGCGATAATACAAATAAAAGCACACAATTGGTTTGAATCATCTTAGTGTCTGCAACCAAAACCTAATTATTATTAGTATAATAACATTAAGTTTGAAAGAAATATTGAAATAATCGAAGAATTCACCCATAACATCAGAAAATTAATGCAAATGCAAATACATCTTCCATTGAACATGTTAATTCAGGCACAAGCTAATCATCATCTGTCGAACTGTGCTACGAGTATGGCTTAAAATTCGAACATTTTTTGATCGGGAGGAAATTTGCTCGAGGAATTGCTTGAATTTAAGGAAATGTAAAATTTGAAGACTTGTCGTCACAACTAAGTGATTACCATTTCATTTTTACGGCAATCACGGCCCTCATTATGAGTATCACTTCCTTTTCACTGTATATTGTCGCTAGAGTTGTAAACCGATATAACCCACTCGTGACAATCGATTTTATTCTAGTTCTGCATTAAAGCACATTATTCAACGAATACAGTGCACTAGATACGACATTATGTTGAACGTACAAAACGAGAGGGAAATCGATTGTCGCGAGTGGAATATTTCAGTTTCCAACTCTAGCACGAGCTCTAGCATGGTGCTTCAAGAAATGTATTATAAGTATTCGCAGAATTGGTCATGTTTGTAGTCTAGTAAAACATTAATGGGCGTATTTCGGGGTGTAAGAAGAGTTTTTGAATAAATTGATTCATTCGAGTATGTGTTAAGGGTTTTCTTCAATTTTTTTTAAATAGTTTAAGAATAAGGGTTTGGGTACGTTTTAAATTACATTTGTGTAACTTTAATTACATTAATTACATTAATTACAGAAAATAAATTTTTAATTACATTAATTACGTAATCAAATTGAAGTACGTGTTTTAATTACAGTAATTACACTGGCACTGCTTTCATTACGCGAAATTAAATTTAATTACATGAAATACTTAATTTTCATTAATTTCATCTCATCGGCCTATTGGTCCCAAGCAAACTATTAACGTACCCTATTCTAGTTGAAATTCTATTACTACACTATGTTTGTTTTGATTCGCTATGAAAGTTTGACAGATAACATCAGGGGTGTGTGGATTCATGCAGAACATGCAGGGGTGAGTGAAATAGCTTGGGACCGTTGTTCTGGTACTGAGTGAGCCAAAAATAATAATGATTTTCTTCGGGACCCAGTGGTCTTAGAGTTACCTCTATGGTCTAAACCCAGCTCACGTTCCCTTGAAAGGGTGAACAATCCTACGCTTTGTGAATTTTGCTTCACAATGATAGGAAGAGCCGACATCGAAGGATCAAAAAGCCACGTCGCTATGAACGCTTGGCGGCCACAAGCCAGTTATCCCTGTGGTAACTTTTCTGACACCTCTTGCTAAAAACTCTTTAAACCAAAAGGATCGTGAGGCCTAGCTTTCTCTGTCTCAATATGTACTGAACATCGAGATCAAGCCTGGGACTGCTTTATGTGGTACTAAGATTGACCAGAGATAAGGTTTCCTCAGCGATTCAACTTCAAAACGCTTAAAAAATGCACACACACAAAAAAGGAGTACACCATTATGCACCAATTATGCAACATTTCGAGTTGATCGGGAATAACTCGATTAGCTATAAATCCCTCCAATAAGTTCTCGGTACATCTTTTATCTGCCGATTGGCAGAAAACCTCTTAAATAAAGAAAAAAAAATCTACCGATTGAGTAAAAAAAAAATATTATTGTTTTTTAAAGATTTCGTTCGCGTTTTGTAGATGCACATATATCATTTGGCATAAGACCACGGGGCGTTTCTGTTTTGGAAAAAAAAAGTGACTTCCATATCTATCATAGACTACAAATTCGACAGTGAGCAGACATAAAGACTTAACTGCGATGATCGTTTTTCTCTTTTGTTAATAACTCGCTTGGATTAACATTTCTCGGTGCGTTTGGATTAACATTTTTAGGTCCTAAATAGCATTGATGGATTCTCTTCGCTGACTTTCTTGTCCGTTAATAACTTGAGCACATAACCGTTTCTTGTTGTGTTTGTCGTATAAGATGCTAGATAAAAACTTCTTTTATCGATATGTGTGCTGAAAATACCTGGGCCGAGTGGATACAAGGAGAAAGTCGACGAAGGGAATCTTGTCAATGTTACTTAGGATCTAATGCAATGTTCAGCTTGAATTGTTTCGCTTAGCTGTAGCAATGTAAAGAGAAAATCGATTAAGAGAATCGATCATTACAAGTAGGCCCTTTTGAACGCTGAAATCACTGTTGAATTTCAGTACCTAGCTCTGAAAAAAAACTTAACGGTACCTCTTTTATGCTAAGAGATAAGCGTTTTAAGTCCCGATTATGCAATCGAACGGCTTGCTATGCCTCAGCCCCATCAGTAAAAAATCTGGGATTTTATAAACCGTTCTATAGCAAAATGTTCCAAGTAGGATGGACTTTCATAGCTAATCTAAGAGCATAAATAGAGGTACCGTCTGATAACTTCAGTGCTTGTTACAGAAATCTGTAATCTGTGTAGGAAAATCCTTTTTTTTTCACCACAGAAACATCCCGATTTCTTATGCAAAATAATGGATGTGCGTTCACAATCTTAAAAAAAATACATATTTAGTTTTTTTTTTATTCAATCAATAGACTGAATAGATGTACCAAGATGTACCGAGAAATAAATGGAGCGATTTCAAACTAAAATGTTTTGATTGCGAGATATTGGGATATTTTCCCCACCTGATATAGTGGTGTTAGTATGCGTGGGCGAGCTATCATTTACGCCAAACCGACGATAAAATGCGTTGTTTACAAAAGCTGATATGTCCTTCCGAAAAATTAATCGAGATTTGTAGAACGCGGGATCGTTATCATTTAGGCAAGGAGGTTGATCCACTTCGGAGCGCTTATGCCAGCAGCCAGTGATCTCGACGGGAACGACCCGCAAGGTTCGAGGTGCAAAACTCGAACGCTGCGCGCTTGACAGGAACCGCTGCCTTCCTACTGCTGCTGCTGCTACCTGCTAATCCGCCGTCCGAAGCAAAATTGTGTAGAGGCACAAGATCAGCGCTGTTTAATAACTTTTCAGATTCAAGCAGCATGATGTACAACCAAATGGTACTCGATTATGACGACTGGGTTTGGAGAGAACGTTTATTTCATGAAAACAGTGATAAAATTATCACTTTTTATTTGTACATTTTTCAACAGTTTTCTTATAAAAAAAAAATTGGAAAAGCATGTATTGTAGCAGATTTTGAGAGTTATTTCCTATCGATTGGTGTATTTGGATTTTTTAATTTCATCTATAAATGACAAAGTTATAAGTGTTCAAACCCTTACCCTGGGAAGAAATGAGCTCAAAAAAATCTTGATCGGCTTCGTAGAGTTTCATAAAAATTTCATCATAAATCGAGGCATAAACAAACAAACGAATTGGAAAAACAATCACGAATTATTTATGTCAATGAACATTGTATGCCAAATGCGGGTCTCCCGCTCAAGAAAGAAAAAAAAAGTTTGTCTGGAAGCACTGAACCAATTCAAAACATTCTAGTACTACAAACTGTTGTGGTGTTCGACGAAGCAGCGAATGCAGATCCAAAACAAAAATCCTCCAAATGGATTGTGTAGTTCCGGATTGTAGTTACAGTTCCCAGCCGGATTGTGTATTTATTCGATTTCCAGAAAACGAAACCCTACGTGAACGATGGAAACGAGCCATCGAGTTCGGTTCTGGCTTGCTGGCACAGTGCACACCCAGCGGAAAAGCCGAATCTCACGATCTGGCAATCTGTAGCTGGCATTTTGAGGACAAGTCGTTCTCCGATTACCAGGAACCGTGTTTGTTTGAAGACCGGTAAGAACAACATGCAGAATTCCTAATCGTGAACGGTATATTGAGATATTTTGCTTTCACTTCAGCAATGGTGAATTGTCGGAAGTTTGTAGCTGTCGAATTTGTTTGCAGTTCTATCATCGAAACGAAATGGTTTCCATGGATAGTAAAGTAGGTCGAAAGACAGTTTCCGGCTTAATCAAAAGGATTCTGGGGCTCACGCTGGAGGACAAGGACTTTCTAATGCAAATTTGCGAGGAATGCTTGGTGAAACTTGATATTTGCCTAAACTGGATCCAGGAAGCCAAGACAGTTGGAGCGCAATTCAATGAATTGGCAGTGGCCGCTGAAAACGAGAAAACTACCTTCTTGGAATCGAAAAATGAACTTGTCGAATTGTGTGACGATCAAGACCTGTGCGTAGACGAATTCGTCGAAACAATCAGGATCGATCAAGATAGCAGTAAATACGTTGCTTTCGAAGTAGATTTAATTCCTGAACCTGGAGAATCGCAGTATGATTCTAATGTGGAATTTGTAGCTGTTGCTTCAGATGAAACAGGCCTATTACTGACGGAAAAATCACCAAAACGTAAGCGTAGGCGAGGACCAGCGCGTGCTCGGAAGCGTTCTTTACCTGTAGTAGTGGTACAAAAGCAAGACTTTAAGGCCATACTTGCCCGTAAATGCTATATTTGTAACACGTTACACAGTTCCAACAACGACTTAATAGGTCATCTACCGACTCACGCAGCAAATGCCGATTATCAATGCGCGGAATGTGGTGATAAAAGATTTAACAAGGTTTCTTCATACAACCATCATCTGAGTTTTCACGATTTGGAAAATCGACCAATGAAATGCGACCTCTGTAAGCTTGGGTTTTCTACTGTGCCTAGTCTGAAGGCCCACCAAAATCGCGAGCATGGAGCTGATCACGTGCTTTGCAAGCCCAAACGTCGAACCACGGGAAAGTCCTATCAATGCGACACATGCGGGAAGACGTTCCGGAATTGCTATCAACTACGAGAGCACGATAATTTTTATCATAAGAAAATTTTTACCGCGGTCTGCACCGTTTGTAGTAAACCATTTCCGACAAAGTCTCTGCTGCTGAAGCATTACATAGTGCATTCCGGCGAAAAGCCGTACAAATGTGACTGGTGCGGGGAGGCGTACAAGAATTCCACCTGCCTGGATAATCATGTGCTGAAACACAAAAGTGGACGTTTGAAGGGAAAGCGCAAGAATTGAAGATCGGTGCCAGAAGGCGGAGCTGATGGTGATGAGCCAGATTGGACGGACGAATTTGGTAGGTTTAAGTTGTGACTTGTCAATGCGGGCGTCTCGTAATATAATAGAAAACATTGCGTAGTAACTGATATGTATTGTATCATGCCATTGTATGTTATGCTTCTTCTTCTTCTTCTTCTTCTTCTTCTTTTTATTATCGGAATATCACACTCTTCAGAAGGCATTCTGCGTTTTTATTTTGTGTAAATTTCAATAAATTATTGCTGTGGTAATTTTGTCGTTCATTTGGCAAGGCTCAAGTGTCTTAAACAATATTACGGAGCCAACAGTCTTAAAAAAATTCAATTTATTTGAACTCATCTGAAATTTGTATTAACATACACTCAAAAAAATTATCACATATCTAATGGATAAAATCCATGTGAATTTCACATAGCTTTCCTGTGATCACATAGCTGCAAATCTCAGTACAAAATCAACATCCATTTGTGAGATAGTTTACCCAACCGGGATACAGTTCATTTATGGTTGATATGTCCGGTGTAAGAGTCGAAACCCTTTTAGCGATAAAATACGGTCTGAAAGATAAACGATCAGTGATGTTCACTCGAACGATATATTGTATGTGTTAAACGGTCGAAGCTAATGAAAGATAACATGACATTGGAAGAAGTACACTCAAAAAATAAATCACATTTCCAATGGAAAATATCCATTAGAATTTCACATAACTTTTATGTGATCTCATAATTGGGAATCGCACCACGAAATCACATAAACCTTATGTGCCCAATGAAGTTTATGTGATTTATCACATAGAATTCATGTGATCATGTGAATGTTATGTGAATTTCAGGTAGATTTCGTTATTGGAAAAATTTCATTTACGTTCCCAATGGAAACTAAATGAAAACTTTTTTCAGTGTAGAGCAAATTGTTCACCGAAAATAGTTTTCATGTAGCTTCCATTGGAAACGCAAATGATTTTCATCCATAAACAAAATTAATCGAATTCATCTGAATTTCACATAACATTTATGCGATCAGGTTAAGTTTATATGATTTTTCATATGAATTTCATCGGCCTCATAATATTCATGTTATTTTGTGGTGGGATTTTTAGCTATGTGAACATGAAAGCTATGTGAAATTCACATGGTTTTCATCCATTAGATATGTGATAAATTGTTTGAGTGTAGTAAGAACAGAGTTACCTCTATGGTTATAGCATGTATAACTGTTTGCATTCCCAATGAGTCAGTGACGGAATGAGACGATAACATTTCGAAGTGTTTTTTCACCCATTTATGGGTAAAAAATACACCCATTATTCAACCGTGAACTGATTCTTCAAATGGGTATTTTTTCCCCCATTTTATGATTTCCGAATTCCCCCTTTTTTAACAGCTGCATACATGGTTTGAAAATGGGTATTTTGTACCCATTAATGGGCTTAAACGAAACACCGTGCGCGGGGAATTTAATGTACACAGAAATTCAAAACAACCCAAAATTAAGTTCTTTTCACTCATCTCCCATGTTCCGTACGATAAGCCAAATTTGGGTAAACCGGCTCAAAGTACACGGTAAGAAAAAAGTACCCAACGGAAATTTCACTTTTACCTACTTTTGACTAGTTTGTCTCCTTTTCTCCTTCTAATGTTGTCAAAAACGGAGGAGCAAAACCACCCAACAGGGCTAGTAAAGTGTGGGAACCCAACGTTGAGTATAATCATATTTACCTACTGTTGGGTACAACTAACATACTTTTGGTTAAAAAGCCAGTGGAAAATTCCATACGAATTGCACATAAGTAAATGAATATTATTTTGACCCGCTTTACCTACTTTTGGGTACCTGCACTATAGTGCCGAGATGAGTGAAAAGAACTTAATTTTGGGTACTTTTTTCTAACCGTAGTTTGCATTTAAGCACGGCAAAAAAAAATTACCCATCGCTAAGTTATTTTCAATTTTTTCTACCCAAAATTAAGTTCAATTAACTCAAATTTGGGTATATCGCATATTACTCAATTTTGGCTTCTTGTACGGAACTAGACGGTTGAGTCGAATCTTTCGTTCTATTTTTGACAACAATAGCGAGAGGAAATGAAACGGGCAGAGGTCAAATAACTCAAATTTTAGTTTAAAAAACCCAAGCGGTGGGTAGTTTTTTTCTGTGTAAGCGTGCACTGTACGAAATTAAACGTCGCGACTTTCGCTGATTTTGACAGACCTGCAGTACTAGAACGACGTCATTTTTATCTACCTCCGCACACAAACACCAACACCGCAAGCAACCCACCCAGCCCGAGTCGCAAGTGCAAGCCGACACGAAGTGAGATTCATTCGACGTTAGTCAGGCAAGCCAGCAGGAAGCCCCGTGTAGTGTGTGTGATTCAAGCCAAATAAAGAGAATAAAAGAAAGGAAAAACTACACCAGGAAGAAAAAAAAGCGCAGCCCTCATTTTTCAATCCACGCTAGTGAGTGACAAGAGCGGAATCCCTCGAAAGTTTTCACCAGCAGCGCCGAAGGCAGAGCTTAGTTTTCTTCTCCGTGTCAATTTTGTTTATCGTATGTCCATCCAGAATCTAAATACATTCGGTAAGTACCTTCCGGTAAAGCGGTTTTAGTGGGGTAAGACTTCAAATTGCTACGGCTGCTGCCTAGATTCGCAATATCTCAAAATTCCAAGATGGCCGCGCGCTGTCGTGTAATTAAATGCCATACTCGCGGTGGCGAGCAGAAAGTCATCAGCAGTGGCCAGTTTTGAAACTGGAATCCGGCAGCGATTGGCGTGATGAGTCATCAGTTTGACTGTTTAAAATAAGGACCAACAGAGCAGTGCAATTGAAAGTGACTTCCAGAGAGGTCCAACTTGATGAAAGTGCACCTTGAGGGTGAGGGTCGCGCAGCGATATTGATTGATTTTGGCCACGATGCACGGCGACTCGATATCATGCATTTGGGTCAGCAGCAGAATGATGAAATAATGGTGTGTGGAAAAAAACCCGATGACGCATTCCGTTTCCTGTTTCGATCCGCCGTCGCCGCCGATTTTCTCCATTCTCAAAAATACACGTCCGGGTCGGAATCGGATGCATGTCGAGGGGTTGTCCGATTGCATTTGTGAGGTGGCAAGGATAACGGGATACCAATTTTATGTTGTCAGGCGAAATTTAAAACTAACGTAAAATTTAAGATGTGTTTATGGAAGTTACAGTCTTCAGTAACGCCATTTTCATTGCGAAATTTAATTGCCCCTTGACTTAAACCAGTAGTGAAACTGACCTTGCCCTTTCCGTCCTACGCGTATCACCTACTATCGACTTCAATCACCAATACTCTCCTAACGGTGCTATTACGCAGTTTCACTACCGGTACCGCCTTAACTTCCTGGTGCTGATCATATGAAATTCAATCAGATAGAGAAACATGTTCCAAACTACTTCTTGGGGGTTGAGGTTTTTTCCATTCTTCATTGAACACAAATACATACCAAAAATGACCTGTCCACATGATCGTTGTAGACAAGCAGTAGGTACCTACCTTCTGTCGCCATCAGTAGAGTGCATTCGGTGTCATATTTGCCAACATGCGTAACGCAATTTTGAGTTTCCCACTCCAGTCGCAATACATGTACACAGGCGGTTTTATTTTTGCGATCTTGCTTGTTGAGACGCAAAAGCAGCTTCACACGCTCGTAGTAAACAATCTTTGTCAGAGCCGCTACCGCTACTTTCGACGCGACTGAATGGCAACAGCAACGTTTTTGAATGTATGAACTACTGCGAAGTCATCACGCGATTCTTCTTCGAGCAAGTAAAGGGACTTTGATTTCGATTGATTAATAGCTACACCCACCCACTACATCTACCCTACCGTCTTTGTGCGCCGTTTTCGCACACATGAGAATCATTTACCAACCGTTTCTTTGTTTGCTTCCATATGTTTCCACAGACCCATTTGCGGATGCAATAAAGGGTGCTGATGATGATGTACAAGACGGACTCGTGCACATAAGAATCCAGCAGAGAAATGGTCGCAAAACACTAACCACTGTCCAGGGTCTGTCAGCGGAGTACGACCTGAAGAAGATCGTGCGAGCATGTAAGAAGGTGAGTACATACAATATTATATACTTAGTCCGAATCGTAGATGATAATTCGAAATTTGCTCCATCAGCTTAAGTGGCGACAATGGAAATAGGTTGATTGGCGCCTAAGAACTATGGAGAGGATCGATGTTTGTAAAATCACGTAAACTGGTTCTGTTCAAACAAAGAAGTATCAGATTGTTTTTAAATCGGAATATTGTATAGTTTAAAAGCTATCATTCATGTACTTAACTTGTATTACCAATACTTTGTCGACAAATGTCAATGTGTATGAAGTTACAGGTCTGGTAGCAGGTCACTATTTTCAAGTCAGTCACTATTTCTTAAAATTTAGTCACTAAAGTCACTTTTTTACGACCAATGTTGAGAGGAAAGAATGTTACTTTAAAAACTCTCGTCAAATCACAGCTTCAGTGAGTAACAAATGTGTGTTTGAATGATTCATTAAAAATCGGTGTGATTGGCTTCTGACAAGAAGAGTTGCGAACAGACTGTCGAATCGATGTTGACGGAATCACTAGTTTTTTTTTTTTTTAAATTTCATTTTATTTTCCTTTCCTGTGATCTCGAAATTGTTACAAATTTTCTGAGGTTTCAAAAAAAAAATCTAGACCTAATATTTTGTTTTTACCTTGGTTAGATGTGTGGGGCGCGAACGCGGACCGCGAATAAATAAAACGAATAAAACTTGTTGTTTTTAATCGACAATCTCAAGGAGCTCTTTATTCCCCCTTATTCTGCGAGTCACGTGACTCTCTCTCACCGGTGAGGTGACAATGTCACCTCGTGTGAGGTGACTCTCCATGCAAATCAAATGGAGAGTCACCTCACACGAGGTGACTATTGTCACCTCACCGGTGAGAGAGAGAGTCACGTGACTCGCAGAATAGGGGGGATTGTCTCACGTGTTTTACAACTCTGACACTTCCTCTTTTTCTCTGTTCGCTCACGAGGGGTGCGCTGATTGAAAGCAATACCAAGCACCACAGAGTCCCCCCCAGTCACACCAGGAATCTAACTTTGTGTCCTGATTGTGTGATTTTCGTATTTTTATCGTCCTGTGGATGACCATCCACTCCTTGATCGCAGATGAATGCCGGTTTGATGCGGTCGATTGAGACTCGTTGAACTTTCCCATTTATTCGAAGATCCATGAACTTTTCGTGACGATCAGCTACTTCGTACGGCCCTTCATACGGTTGCACAAGTGGTTTCTTCACAGCATCTATTCGCACGAACACGTGACTGCACTTTTGGAGTTCGTGATTTACAAAATCAGCCGGTTTGACATGATGGTTTGGGTCAGCAGGCTTCCATTTGCGCATAGTGGATTTCAGTTGTTTTGCAAATTCTTACAGTCGTTACAGTCTCAGGTATTCCGAAGCGTGCAATCCACGTATCGACAAATGCGCAAGCCACTGTTTCGGTGGTCATATCGTGTAATGGAATCGCCTCCGGCCACCGAGAATAACGGTCTATGATTGTTAACAGATAACGATATCCATTCGAAGGGGGCAGCGGACCCACTAGGTCCATGTGCACATGACGAAATCGGCTATCCGGTAGGGGAATCTTTTCGATTGGTGCTTTCGTATGTCGATGAACCTTAGAACGTTGGCAGGATAAACAGTTCTGAACAAATTGCTTGATGTCCTTATTCATGTTTTTCCAAACAAATCGATCGGCAACCAATCGACGAGTAGAGCGAATTCCCGGATGTGCTAATCCATGGATGTGTTTCAGCACTGCCTGGCAATGTTGCAAGGGGGTGTACGGCCTTACCTTATTTTGTGAAACGTCGCAATACAAGGGTACAGATGCCAGGGGGGTCTTCCGAGGTTCCAGTTTCAGTGAACTTGATGTTAATAGAAGATGCTTCAATTCGACGTCCGCCTGTTGGTCTTTGGCAACCGTTTCGTAATCAATTGCCATAGGAACGTTGATTGCTTCGATTCTTGACAGTGCATCCGCAACAACATTCAATTCCCCGCTGATATGCCGGATATCGCTGGTGAATTGGGATATATATTGTAGATATCGTTCTTCGTGCGGCAATCTGGAATTTGGACTTGAAGTTAACGCTGTTGTGTGTGGCTTGTGGTCGGTGAATATAATGAATTTCCTTCCTTCAAGTAGGTGACGAAAGTACTGTACGGACATTTTCATCGCAGTAAGCTCCCTACCAAACGTTGAGTACTTGAGCTGCGCTGGCGAAAATTTTTCGGAGTAAAAGCCCAATGGCTTCCACCGTCCTTCGTCTAACTGCTGGAGAACCGCACCTGCTGCTGTGTTCGACGCGTCGATGAGCAAACTTAGCGGTTTTGTAGCATCGGGAAAATGCAGCAATGTGGCGTCCGCTAACGAAGTTTTACATTCCTGGAACGCTTTTTCAGCGGTTTCTGTCCATGATAGCTTCCTGGAATCGTTTTTTCTGTTGTCTGGGATAAGTCTCCGTAATTCGATCTGGGTGTCAGTGGCATGAGGAATAAACCGTTTATAACTGTTAAGGGCCTGTTCATAAACTACGTAGACAGTTTTTTTGGGATTCTTGACCCCCCCCCCTCCCCCTGCGTAGACAATTATCCATACAAAAATTTTAAAATTTGTATGGGCCGTGGATAATTGTCAATCCCCCCCCCCCCCTAAACTGTCTACGTAGTTTATGGACAGCCCCTAACCAGTTCGAGAAACCTTCAAAGCTCTTTGACAGTCGTCGGAAGTGGAAATTTGACGACGGCATCGACGCGATTTGGAAGTGGACATACTCCATCCTTGCTAACCAGGTAACCAAGAAATTCCACACTTCGTTCCGCAAAATAGCTCTTGGCAACATTTATCACAAGTCCGTAAGATCGGAGTCGTTCGAACACTGCTCGTACGTGCTGATAATGTTCCTCCTCCGTCGACGAAGCTATGCAGATGTCGTCTACAAACACCACAACAAAATCCATATCGGCAAACACCTGATGCATAAATCTTTGGAAGGTTTGGCTGGCGTTGCACAATCCGAACTGCATCCTCGTAAATTCGAAAAGCCCGAACGGGGTTATGACGGCCGTCTTCGGAATATCTGATTCTTCCACGGGAATTTGATGGTACGCCCTTTCGAGATCCAGTGTGGTGAAAATACTTTTGCCCTGAAACGTATTCAACAGGTCGTGGATATGTGGTACGGGATAGCGATCTGGAACAGTTACCTGGTTTAAAGCACGGTAATCACCGACGAATCTCCACTGACCGTTCTTTTTCGGGACGCAATGGAGAGGACTAGCCCAACTGCTGCTAGACGGACGGCATATATCCAGCTCACTCATCACCTGGAACTCCTTCTTAGCAGCGTCTAGTTTGTCTGGGGCGAGGCGACGACACTTGCTTGCTATGGGAGGCCCTTTCGTTTGAATGTAGTGGGTGACATCGTGCTGGATCGTTGTTTTAATTGTAGTTGGCAACGTCACTTCTCGAAATTCAGTCAATAATTCTCGGAAAGGGTGATCTAGGGCGACCACGGTTATGGTGTGAACAGTTGTGTCTATTATACCCCCAATAGAGGATAATTTAGTAAGTCCGTCAATCAACCGTCGGTGTTTAAGATCCAGAGGATTCCGTAGGACGCCAGAAAATCTGCTCCAATAATCGCAACACCTACATCACCAATCAAGAAGCGCCAATTGAATCTCCGACGTAGACCAAGATCGACCGTGAGAAATCGTTTGTCGTAAACTTTAATTCTGGAACCGTTTGCAGCATGGAGGTCGAAAGGTGCTGTTCCATTCGAACGCTCACGAATTGAAGCTGGGAGAATCGAAACATCCGAACCGGTGTCGATAAGAAACTTTGTGGTACGATCGAATATCAAAATACGGCGACTTTCCGGAGCTCCGTCCACCCCCGCCGATTCGGGTGAACGGGAGTTTAGTTTTTTTGGTTACTAAACTGGCACGGGTCTCGACACTTGAGAGCGCGACCACCGAATTTGCGATGAAACCAGCATATTTCGAAATCGCTTGCATTTCGACTCGAACGTGATGTCGAACGGCTACGGGATGAGCGGTTTGCCTTGATGTGCCTAATTTCGGTAGTGAGAGCCGCGATTCGGCCTCGCAATTCTTCCATATCGTTGTTTCAAGTGGGCATCGACGCAGCTGCGACGTGGGACAACGAAAATTCCAACATTTTGTCGGCCATTTCCGCCAATTTACCGATAGTTCCGTCACTGATGGTGAGAATGGCTTTAACGTTTGGGGGCATTCTCTGAAGAAACAACATTTTCAAGAGCTCATCGGTTACGTTTAATCCTGCTGCCAGCTCTTGCATTTTTGCGAGCATATGTGTTGGCCGCATATCACCCAAATCGCAGGAACTCAGCAAACGTTCCAACCTTCCTTCTGCAGACACTTGAAAACGCGAGATCAAACGATTCTTCACCGCACTGTACTTATTTTCCGCCGGCGGATTCGACACTAAGTCCGTTACGTGGCAAATGACCGATTGGTCGATTTTGACCACAATGTGATAAAATTTCGTATCGTCTCTAAGAACATTCGCGAGGGCAAACTGAGCCTCTGCCTGTGCAAACCACATGACAGGATCGTTCTTCCAAAAGTCCGGAAGTTTTACGGCGACGGCAGCGTTTTCGTTCGAGTTTGCCATTTTCGTTGAAGAAATGTATGGAAACGTTATCCAGTCGGTTCTTCTCCGTCGGGGTCACCAATGTGGGGCGCGAACGCGGACCACGAATAAATAAAACGAATAAAACTTGTTGTTTTTAATCGACAATCTCAAGGAGCTCTTTATTGTCTCACGTGTTTTACAACTCTGACACTTCCTCTTTTTCTCTGTTCGCCCACGAGGGGTGCGCTGATTGAAAGCAATACCAAGCACCACAGATGTTACAAATACCTAGAAAATTTTTCAAGCTCTCGAAATTTGTTCATTGGTCAGAACTTTGAAGAATCTTTGAAACCCGGTAGCTTTAGTACAAGTCCACACATCGAGAAAAAA